TTTGTTTACATCTCAACCGCTGAATATTAAAAAAAATAGAGGTGTAATTCCCCTTTAAGTTAGTTTCAGCCTTGGTTTCCTTCTGTGATGAAGGCGTTAATGGCTTAATATACTTAAAAGGTTAACACATTTAAATATATAGTACAAACTGGCACCTACACAGGACCATCCTACTGAAAAACAAGCTACAATCCTGTATAATATTTAACCTTAATCTATCGTCACATTCAACCCAACCCATTTTAATTACCCTGAGGTCAGGTTAGCAACACCACAATTTCCTGGTTTGGAGAAAAGGGTCAAAGACGCCAAATACGGTAAAACAGGCAAGTTACTAACTGTAGTGGCACAAAAAAGACACCTTTGAGAGGATTATTTAAAACAACGTGATATATATTACACTAAAAAAGGTTAAATAAACACAAAGAGCTCTCTTTCGACCAGCTAACGTTAGCCAGCCAAGCTAAGATCAGCTGCACAGCTCTTCTCTTCCAGCTTCTTGTTCGAATTTTTCCGTTCCACCTTAAATGGGGTAGCAGCTACATTCTGGCCTCAAGCGCTATAATGCAACTGCAGCACCATTTAAGGTGGAACGGGAAAATTCGAAAAAAGAAGCTGGCGAATAGGAAACCAACTTCTGTCTCGTTTAAAGATAACGATCGATAGCGAACTAACGGTACGTTTAACCGTTATTTATGCTCAAAATATCACTTTTTCAGCTGTATTTTTACCTTGACGTGTTATTCCACTTGTCCAAACGGAAATAAAGGCAAAAAATGTCCAAGTTGCTGCAGCTCAGACTGATAACAACGATGATTCAGTGTCGAACTAAACTACACGGTCGCAACGGAAATATTCTCCTGCTTTCATTCGCTTTTATAGAAAAGCCGCTTTCTGCCGTTAAACCGAAAAATAAACCGTTAAAACCCAGCGAAGGTCTTCGCCACTGCAGCAGCATCCCCTTGTTTTTAACCGATACTAACGCTACGGCTCGATAAATCCGCAGTAGTACAAGATCAGCGTCGCTTCTGAAAACGCGACCTGATCGGCAGATGCTTAAAAAGACGCTTCTGATTAAATTTAGGTTAAATAAACAACAACAAAAACAACCACGGCGGCGATGTAGGTCGACTATGGGTGTTTTTTTTTGTCTCGTCTTCGTCCGTTCGTCTCTTAATCCGACACCACTCTCGCTCGGCCCCGCCCATCCGCCCTGACGCATGCTCTTCCATTGTCTTTTACCCCGCCCACTTCGCGGGATCTGGATTGCCATTCGCTAATCACATTCTGTTCTTATCTGTCCGTTAAACGTTTCTTTTATTTTCATTGGTCGGAGGTGGAGGATATTTAAATTAGTTAGAAACAAGGTATTGGTTAGACAGAGCGCCCCGCCTCCCCAACATCCTGTGTTAGATGCTGTTTTTAAGTCGTACACAACATTTACGCAACAATGATTAAAAGCCCGCAACACTGAGATGTGAAACTAATGCATTTAATGCGTAATTTAATGCTAAATATCTAAATCTACTTGTCAAATTTATTGCATTCTTAAATAAAGACGTGCAGACGTGACAGACGTGACGAGCCTTTCTCGCTTGTCTTGTTTATTTGGAGTTGCTGCTGTTATTCACATGCATTGACAGCTGTCATTCACATGCAAATGAACCGTGATTAAAAAAAAAACGTGACTTCCTATCAGATTTTAGCTTAAAACAGCAACACTAATTCACCATATATACGTACATGTAGCCCAGTTAATGGGGAATTTCTGCAGAATTCAGTGGTTCAGATGTAAACAGAGTCGTTCAGAGTGAAATGGTTGATTGTAGAGACTCAGATGTCTTTACAGTGGTGGTGATAGGAACCAGGGGTCACCATGACTACAACACAAATATAGACATTTTATTTACTATCTAAAACCACCAGAGAACCTTCTGAGTTTTTATATGTAATGTTGATGATGGTAAAATAGTCATACATCTGAAAAAATATACATTTTCTTTGGAGACTATTTTGCCTCACAACACCCTGCACGTACCCCTCTACCATGAATGGATTAAAATACATTTTAAGGCAAAACCTTATTACTATAACTATCATAAAACGGTGTCTCAGACATTAGGCCGTGTATACATACCCGTTTAATGTAATAACTTTCTGTGAGGGAGCTTTTAGAGGTGGACGTCTGGTTCCTATCACCACCACTGTAAACAGTTCTGACTGTAAGTTTCTCTAGAACAGAGTGTTTCACACCAAACCACTCTGAATGACTTTGTTTATATTTTAACCACTTAATTATTGGAGTTCCCCTTTAACAGCATAAACAATTTTAACAGATTAAAAGATCTCCCACCATAGCTTAACTGTGGACCCTTTGGCTGATTTTCTGTGTTTATATAGTAGCATCTGTAAAGTCATGAAGTAAATTAAAGCATTAATCTTTTGAAGCAAAATGTGGCCTCATTAGCAGAATGAATAATAAATGAACAGAATAAATATTTCATTTTTGACCACACCTACATTTCCACAAAGAAACACCCCCCCTTGGGGGCCTTATGGGTCTTAAGAATTCAACATTCTTAAGGCATCATAACAATAGAAGAACCTTTTTGGGTGCTAAATAGAACCATTTTCAAAAATGTTCTATATAGAACCAAATACAACGCCTTCTCCATCGATCTGAAGAACAATTTCACCTTGCAAAGAACCATTTAAGCATGTAAATAGTTCTATGTAGAACTCATGGTTCTACATAGAACCATTCTATTTACTAAAGAACGCTTGAAGAACCATCCTTTTTTTAAGTGTGTACTCCAGGCTCATAGCCTGATAAAGCAATTACTCACATGTTTTGCTACTCTTAAAACAGATGGTGCTTCAAGGGTTCTTTAGTAAAGAAAATGGTTCTATATAGAACCTACATCTATATAGAACCATGAACACTCATTAAAGGGTTCTGTGCATCATGAAAGGGTTCTTTGGACTGATAGAAAACGTGCATGAATGTGGTTCTATATAGAACCTTTTTGAAAATGGTTCTATATAGCACCCAAAAGGGTTCTTCTATTGCTACAAGCTTCACAACATAACAATAGAAGAACCCTTTTGTGGGCTATATAGAACTATTTTCAAAAAGATTCTATATAGAACCATCTACAGCACGTTCTCTATCATTCTCTATCAATCTGAGGAACAATTTCACGATGCAAAGAACGCTTTAATCATGCAAATTGTTCCTTGAAGAACCATGGTTTTAAGAGTGTATGTTATGCTCAAACTTTGAAAAAGAATAAATAACAATTTGAATGTCAAAGTTTGCACGGCTGCCTGATTAGCCCGACCTGCTGAGGGTGAGCGCGCTCTGTTTGAATGACCCGCCCCTCACTATCCCTCCTCCCCTTCTGCACCGAGTGGACACTCATGTAACGCACATGTGATGCACATCCGAGTGAGGCAAAGTGGACGAGGGGAGGTTGAAAGCTTTGAAACAGGACCCTCCTCTCAGCTGCAGAGGACATTCCTAACGAAGGGGGCTAAATAAATAGACGGGTGAACCGCGGGATGATGTTGCCACTCTCCAGTAGAGGAAGGAAGCTGCTGTCACCATGGATACGGTTAGATGCTCTATTATATTCTCATAAAGGGCGTGTCCCAATTCAGGGGCTGCATCCTTTGAAGGATGTGGTCTACGAAGGCTGCGTAGACCCGCGAAGGCTGAAGCGTAATGAGACGGTCTGCCCTATGGCGGATCTCCTGTCTCCTATCAAGTTCTTTTAAAGTTCCTCAAAGATGGAGCCAGAAACTTTATAATAGTGTTTTATTTTTCATTTATCAGAGCTGGAGATGCTGCTCTCTGTCAGCTCTTTGCTCCCTAAAACAAAATGAAACGTTAGCATAAGTTTAGCTTCAGACCACATTCGCTTTTTTTAACATTTGTATCTTCAGCTATTTGACTCAGTTTACACCCAATACTTACCATTAAAGTGTCTCCTCAGCCGCCGTTCGCTCCTCTGCTGATGCTACCATGTTCTTGAATCCTCACCAGCATGCAATGAACCCTAGTATATGTTGGCTGGCAGAGGATCCACCCCTTGGATCCGTCGTTGCCATGGAAAAGAAGGACACATTCCTCTGCTACATATGAAGGAGACTTTGAAATGGGACAGGCTAGTCATGCCGCTGAGACGCAATCGGCCTTCAAATGCAGCCTTTGAAGGATGCAGCCCCTGAATTGGGACGCAGCATCTGTGTGTTTCAGGAATGACATGAAAAAGCGGGATGGCATTTTTTGAATTTGCATTTAAAAATTAAACTCATGATAAATCTAAATCTTTCAACTTCACTTTAAAGTAAGTAAAAAAAACTTTTAAAAAAGTAAAAAAATGTTAGCAATATGTTCACAAGTGTAAATTTAGATAATTTAATAATTAATAATAAAAGAACCCTATAAATGATGATTTTATGTATATTAAGCTTATTATATAATCCTTACAAACATCTAAAATCTGAATACTTCATTGTTTTTTTAAATAATTTTAAAATGTTTGAACTAATTCAGCAGACTAGTCCATATACAGGGGATGCACGTCCTAACGGTAAAGAGGTAAATTGTCTGTATAGATAAAATAAATAATAATAATAATAATAATAATAATAATAATAATAATAATGCAAATTAAAAAATAAATGACGTCACAGAGTAGGGTACTTTATGTACTGACACGGCCCAATTTTTTTTTAATGTAATAATGTAATATATGTGTTATTTTGCAAAAATATTTACAAACTAAAACTAAGACCGCAGGTAAACTCCTGTCTGACCTGCTATTGTACATTTTTCCACAGTCCTTTTGTTGAGACACGCAACCCGTGACCGAGCCCACTGCCCGGCGAGACGTGCTTTTGTAGTGGAGTGGGCGTGACCATGTAGTACATACGTCACGGAGTGGGCGTGCCCTCGTTGTGGACGTCTCTCATGGTGGGCGGGGCATCGCAGTGTTGTACGCTCGGAGGTTTCGGAGCACAAACACGGCGGGTCAGCCATGCTGAAGAAGTGAAAGCGCAGCTCCGTTTCCTTCTCGCTCGACGATGAAACGGCGCTTTTTAACGTGAGTGTCCGCAGCCGGAGCCCCGCGGAGCGCCCTCGAGATCGTATCCGCCCGACCCGCAGCTGTGTGAGTGCCGCGTGAAGTTTGTTGGCCGATGGCGCTGAGCTCGGGCTCCTGGCCGCCGCCGCCGCACGCAGCTCCTCCGCCGGGCCCGTCTCCTCCCTCAGCTCTGCACGGATGTGAGGCCTCCCAGCCGGGCTGCAGCACTGTCCTCATGTCGGTGAAGGTGTCCGTGTGCCACTCGGGGGTCCGGCCGCTGTGTCTGCCTGGAACAGGAGCCGCGGACGAGGCGGTGCGGCTCCAGCTCAGCATGGACCCGGGGAAGGTGGGGGAATTCCGCCTGGCGCTCAGAGCCTGCGGCGGGGCAGCTGCTCCTAGAAGCGTGGTAAGAGCTCGAAACGGCACAGAAACTTCGCATTCAGGGGTAAAGAGGCTAAAACAGCTCGTTTAAAGCTGACCGCTGACTGTCAGCAGTCCATGTTGTGATGTATGAGCTCTGCGTGGTTCCTGGCGGAACAGGCCAAATCAAGAAGGGGCTTTATTAACTAACTGCGTGTCACCAGCAGCGCTGTAAATCCCCTACTCACACACAGCTCAGCTGAACTTACATCTGAGGTGCTCAGGGTTCTCTTACTGTTCTGTTCTGTTCTCTCACATCTGCTGTGTTACTTTACCAAAAACACTGTTACAGTAGTGTTATAATAAACTACATTACTGTAGTATTGTGTAGTACATGTAGTTTTGTAAGTGGTGTGTGTTTTATGATAACAAGTTTGAGTGGTGTATAAGAAACTGTGCTATTATAGCATTGTGTAGTGTATGTAGTTTTATATGTCATAAAAGTATATGTTTTATTATAATTAATATATTAATATATGTGTATTGTTTATTATAAGACCAAGCTTATAAGAATTGGTACTATTATAGTATTGTGTAGTATATCTAATATTATATGTAGTATACTTATGTTTTATTATAAGAACAAATATATAAGTAGTGTTATAAGAACCTGCATTATTATAGCGTAGTGTAGTATATCGCTGTTGTCGGAAAGAAAACCCTCGTATCTCCATTTTTTGACGTTTTTCAGTTTTTGACATAATTTGAAAATACCTTTACATTGTAAACGGTATTACAGGGTATGGTAAAATGTAAATTTCATGATGAATAGACCAAAAGAAATGGCCAAAAATGACTTGCGGAAAAAGGTCTGGTTCCATTGACTTACATTAAGAGTAAAGTATGTTTTTTCCTTCTCCTGTAAAGTTACCATTTTGGAGATGTGAGGTTTTCTTCCAACAACAGCGATAAGTAGGTTTATAAGTAGTATATGTAAATGTTTTATTATAAGAACAAGTTTAGGTGTACTATTGTTAGTATTGTGTAGTAAATGTAGTATCATGTGTAGTATATTTATATGTTTTATTATAAGAACAAATATAAGTAGTATTAGAAGAACCTGCACTATAATAGTATTTGGTTCTATGTGTAGTTTTGTATGTAGTATGTGTATATGTTTTACTATAAGAACAAATATAAGGTGTCATTATGAGTCAAATAATAAGAGACAGCATTATTATAGTATTGTGTAGTGTATGTAGTATTATATAGTGTAGGTATATGTTTTATTAAGTTTAGATTGTATTATAAGTAGTATAAAAAAACTACATTGTTATAGTACTCTGTAGTGTTATGTAGTGTATGTTTTATTATAAGAACAAGTTAAGGTGATATTTTAAGTAGTAGTACGTGTAGCACAGGTGAACAATATAGCAAAAATATAATACTGCAATAATAAATATAAAAATATAATAATATAATACCAAGTTTCCTCAATATGCTGTATATCAATGGTATTTCATTTTTCAGTGGTTTGACAGGACAAAAAAACAACAACCAGAGCTGTCACCTTTAACATACTGAGTACAAGTTACTTTTATTCAACACTTCAACTGCTGTGCTACACTAATTCCAATTAAACAGGCCTAATTCCCTCTTTGTAATGATGGTCAGTGTTCCTAAAGCGTTGTTTTTCACGATATGCTTAGAAATGCATATTGTGAAGAATTTGATTACAGTAGTGATTAATATTGTCACGTTGCCTGAGTGTTAATGTGTCATATTGTAAGATTTCAATAGTGATACATAAAACCTCTGTTATAATATATTATATGACTTTTAGTCCTGTCTTATAGTGATCTATAATACACTGAAAAAAGTGTTGCTTTTCATTTACGTGATTCGCATATGTACATCATCTCCATGCGAATAAAACACATTATGTCAACAGTTCTTGCTGAAAGTAAGTAAAATGAATGGCAGTAATTGTAATTTTTTCAGTGGAGTACAGTGTAGTATTCTGTAAATCTACAGTAACTCTATGTAGATGTATGTAGATACATTACTATACAGGAATCCTGTCGTAATGTTGTAATCTAGTATAACTATAGACCTCTTTTTCATTAGGGTTGTATTAGCTCTTACAAACTACACAGACTGAAGGGGAATTCCACCAATTTTTTTCCCAAAATTCCTGCATAATTACATCACTACGATGTGAACAAAGTCATTGGCCTTTGTATGAGCTAATACAACCCTGATGAGAAAGAGGATTATAGTTATACTAGAGGAATTACAACAGGAATCCAAGTAAAAACCATATAATAATATATCTCATGGTAATATAATCATATAGTTATTGTAGCTTTTTAGAGTGGTTTGGTGTGAAATGCTCAGTTCTAGAGAAACTTGGCAAGTCAGAACTGTTCACAGTGGTGGTGATAGGAACCGAACGTCCACCTCTAAAAGCTCCCTCACAGACAGTTATTACCTGAGATGGTTATAAATACACTGCCTGATGTCTGAGACACTGTTTTGTGATAGTTTTGCCTAAAGATTTTTCAAAACACAGAGGTGGAAACGTCAAAACCTGAATCTGTTTTTCTCACAGTGGTGTCGCTGAGCTCGTGTTCGTTGAAGGGATCATGAACTCAGAGGTGTGCTAAAACCTTTCGGATGTAAACCTGCAGAGGTCTGCAGAAAAACTGCTCGATTGATAACAATCTGAAACTCCCCGACTTCTGAAAGAATACTTTGCCAGAAAGAAAATGGCAGTCTTTGGAATGTCTGTTCAAAATAAAAGCCACTCGGTTTGACATTTTGTTTCCTAACCTATTGAACTAAATAGGTTTTAAAGTATGGACACACAAGTCCAAATACTTTTTGGAGCTGCTCTACATCTAATTGGACACAAATGAACACTGTGACCACTGGGCATAAAACAGGATTTCGCATTTAACCTAATTTTAGTAGGGATGCCTGATGATATCAGAATGAAATCAGTATCGGCAGATATTTTCTTAAAAAATCAACATCGGTCAGACGTTTATAATCGACTCAGAATCGATTCAAACCGATATTTATTGGAGTATTTGTTGTCCTCTAGAAGAGCAGAATGTTTAGACGTACTTGTCATCACACTGTAATTACTCGAATGAAATGATTTTGCTAGAAAACTTCTAGAAAGACAGCTGTACAGTTACTGGAATGCCTGAGACTGTGGCTGTAGATACAGCTGACATGTTTTTTTACAGTGAAACTGAATCTGAGAGTCTAATCCGCCACCAGGCGTTCAATGAGACGCTTCATTTCATACGTTATTATTGTGTTTATGAAGTCTTTGTTGTTTGTTCAAGTGAGGGTGAGATTTAACACTTTATGGCCTCACTTATCTAACCACTGCAGTGGCTTACAGTTCACTGTAAAAGGGCAATTCCACCAGTATTTCTAAACTTTGCACAATACATTACATTGAGATGTAAACAAAGTCATTCAGAGTGGTTTGACGTGAAATGGTTCATTGTAGATAACCTTAGTGAATAGTCACAGTGAATAGGAAAGGAATCTGATCTTAGATCAGCACTCCTGCCCTGTGAATACAGGCCCTGATTGCTTCACAGTGGTGGTGACAGGAACCAGACAGGCTAAGCAGCATATTAATAACCATTTCGTGTAACAGCTTTCTGTGAGGGAGGTTTTAGAAGTGTAAAAACAGACGTCTGGTTCCTGTCACCACCACTGTAAACAATTCCGACTCTCTAGAACGGAGCATTTCACACCAAAACACTCTGAATGACTCTGCTTACATATTAGTAGGGCTGGGCAGGAAAGCGATAACACTAATTATCGCGATATAACTGTCCTCAGTAGAAATATAAGAAATGTTTGATAAATGTTTGATAGACCGTTCTCACACTTCTGCGTTCTAGCGAAAGCCCTGGTGGCGTTTTCTACTGGAAGGAAAGCGACTCTACTCTGCTGTCGCCAGGAGAGATCGCACTTCCGAGTTTTTCGACATGATTAGAGAGGGAGGGGCGACAAGTATAATGAGTCGTCAAATATACTTTGGCACTGTCTGAAACGTGGATTATGTATACCCTGTCTGTGTGGAGCGATTGGCGTTCTGTTCTTCTGTAACCAAGTGTGAGTGACGAGATCAGTGGCGTAACTGTACTGACCTCCAGTGAACTCACCTCTATCCTAACATCCTAACAAGCTTTAGCAGCGTTAAATCACGTCTGCTCCTCACAACTACAGCGCTGTTACAGCGCTCAGTCAGATTTTAGTATTAGTGCATTCACAAGCAACAAAAGTGAAAGAGCACAGCACTGAAGTTTTAAACTAAAATTTAAACTAAAGCAAAATTGAAGATGCTGTATGTGTGGCATTGGAGAGTGGGAGAACGCTGGCTTCCCTGGCTAGCTGTTTTTAGCAGCTGGCTAACTTGAAGCAGCGCTCCGGCACTCGCACAGCACAGCCAGATTGGTGTTACTGTAGATCAGACAAGACACAAAAGCTCTGATTTCAGTTTAAACATCCCTAAAAGGTGGACTCTGTTTGTCTCTTGTAAGAGATTCACACTACAGTTAATGCTTTTACACAGCGAGTGTCAGATATACTGCGGTTCACCCCTCAAACTACTACGATAGAATAGAGGAACCCAGTCGTCTGATAGCTCGTGTCTGAATACTGTGATGTGCTCTGACACGGTCTGGTAGGAGTGAAGGCAGTAAGGCGGTGTGGTCCATCACTGACCTACTGAGCCAGCTAATGTGTGCTGTTCGTACTAAGCTGACGCTGTTGAGAAACTAAACAGTTTAGCACTGTTGTTGGCCACTTGTATAGCATGTGTAACTGGATAGCCGAGCGCTCGTCACCAGACAGCCATTTTTGGCCATATCGCCCAGCCCTACATATTAGCCATTTGATTATGCAAGAAATTTGAAACAAATCAGTGGAGTTCCCCTTCAAGTTAGGCTCTGAGTTTGATTGCTAGGCCAAAGGCTATGCATTTTCTTCATTCATTGTGCCCTGTTGCCGGTCTTTAGTGGTCGGAGATTCTTGTTACGGCTCCAGTTTTAATTACGGTCCTGATGATGTTCTCTGTCTGCCTTTCTCCTCTCGTTCTCTAAGACAATCGCTGAGTTTGACCTGAGGGCGGTTCGCTACGAGACCAAGACGTCACAGAGTCACGAGCTGAGCCTGATCGCGCCCCCTCATGACCGGATCACGTTCAACTTCCGATCCAAGCAGGAAGCACAGGCTTGGGCCACTGTGGTGATGTCATCACTCCGTGAAGCCCATCGAGGTCCGTCCCTCCTTCTCCTCCTTACGGACACAGCCCTGCTTGTTCTGCTCGCGTCTTTGTCTCTTTCATGGTTCTGTCTCTCTTCTCTCTGTTGTTTTTCCCTCTCTCTCTTCTCCTATTCCTTTCCTCTCGCTCCTGCTGATGCTCTTTCACAGCCCCAAAGTCTAAAGTCATAACAAAAGACTGTACTCTCCTCTGTCTGCCCTTTCATTCCTCACTGTTCAACAGGTTTCAGATCACCAGAACTGCTGCCAAAAATCACCCCCAAAATTACACCGTCAAATGTCTTTTATTAAGAGTTAGCAACTTACTTTGGCCTGAATCTTCGGCTCATACAGTAATGTGTATTTAATCTCTTAAGTTCATTTATTTAGTTTCCAGTCAAAACGGCCATTAAGTACAAGTTATTCACTTTTCAGGAGATATTTCTGTAGATATTAGTCGTATATAACCCACTTGCACAAGGAAAGGAGAACGTCACTGGAAAATAATTGAAAAAAAACATTAGTTTCTAAAAGTGGATTAAAAACTGATTAAGAGCTACAGAGAAAACTGGGCTCCTAACAACCACCTAGAAGAGCTGGTAGACACTGAAACTGCCCCCATCAGATAAACAGCACTTAAATCTTTCATCTCTGAGAGAGAGGAGAAGATCAAGCTGCTTCAGATCTGAAAACATCCACAGGTGTTTCTGTCCATCCTTCCACTGTGAGAAGACGACTCAGCGCTGTGGGTCTGAAAGGATGTGTAGCTGTTCAAGAAGAACCTCACTGAGAAAAGGAGATGGACACATCAGACAAAGAAGCTGAACGATGGACTGACCACCCCAGAGTCCAGACCTCAACATCACTGTTGGGGGCAGTCATGGGCTGGAGGTTAGGGAACCAGCCTTGTGACCGGAAGGTCGCCGGTTAGATCTCCTTGGCTGACAGTACATGACTGAAGTGCCCTTGAGCGAAGCACCTAACCCCCTAACTGCTCCTTAGGCGCCGTGGATAGGGCTGCCCACCGCTCCGGGGCAAGCATGCTCACTGCCCATTAGTGTGTGTGTTCACTAGTGTGCATGGGTGTTTCACTGCACAGATGGGTTTAAATGCGGAGGTCTAATTCCTCTCTGTGTAAACACAGTTGGCTAATGGTTCTGATTACTTCAGAAAATGATTGACCAACTTCTGAGACTGAACTTTGGAGGTTGAAAAACTGAAAACAGGTCTTCTAAAAAGAATGGAAGTTGTGATAAAGGCCAAGTGTGGACACACTTAATACTGAAGAAGAAGATATTATATTTAGTTTTTGTGGCCTGTGTGTAATTTTCTATTAAATAAATGTTTAATGGGACTGAATAACTTGTACTTAATGGCCATTTTGACTGGAAATTAAATAAACGCAGGGCGGTATCTGACCTTTGCTGATGACAAGTTCTGAAACAGAATTGGTGGGCGTTACTATTTCAGCTGAAACATTGAACTGATTTTGATCCTCATAAACTCATTGAAATGGCCATGCGTCTGTGGGGGATGCGTGAAAACCACATTCTAAAAGTGATGAATCAAATATTTCCACAGTCACTGTTAAAAAGTTGTTTGAGTTTCCTATCAACTGCTCAGTGCTTCAGTCCCGTAAGTCAGGGCACCAGTACCATCAGCACCGTGTATTTCAGGGTTGGTACAGTGTGCCCAGCAGCGGCACTGCATGGTGTTCTAGTGGTGCTGAGAGTCTTTAAGCTTTTTTGATCTGTCTCCTCCTCCACTCAGTGGCCACTGGTTCTCCCGCAGAGGACGGACAGTTACCACCCCAGCCTCTGGCTGCACACAACCCTGCCCTCTTGCCCAGTACAGGTATGGCCTTGTTGTTCTCGTCCAGCCCTCTGTTCTCTAACAAAACACAGTCTGCATTGTCCATTGTGTATCACTAACAGTCTCAGCCCCCCCATGTACACCCCCCCCCCTCTCCCACACATACTTTCTCCTCTCTGTTTCCCTCTTTCTGCTTCTCTTTTTTTTGTGGCACAATCTCTCTTCTCTTCTCTTTATCATCTCTTCTCTTCTCTTTATCCTTTCTTTTCTTCTCTTCTCTAATCTTCTCTTCTGTTTTTCTTCTCTTTATCCTTTCTTCTCTTCTCTTTATTCTTTCTTCTCTTCTTTTTTCCTTTTATCCCTTCTCTTTCCTTGTCTTCTGTTCTTTTTTCTTCTCTCCTCTTCTCTAATCTTCTCTTCTCTTCCTTTTTTCTTCTTTCCTCTTCTTTTTTCTTCTCTTCTTTTTACTTTTCTTCTCTCTATTCTTTCTTCTCTTCTTTATTTCTTCTTCCCTTCTCTTCTCTTTTCTTCTCTTTATCCTTTCTTCTCTTGTCTTGTCTTCTCTTCTTTTTTCTTCTCTTCTGTTATTTTCTTTTCTCTTCTCTTCTCCTCTTTATCCTCTCTTCTCTTCTTTTCTCTTCTCTTCTGTTATTTTCTTTTCTCTTCTCTTCTCCTCTTTATCCTCTCTTCTCTTCTCCTCTCTTCTCTTCTCTTCTCCTCTTTATCCTCTCCTCTCTTCTCTTCTGTTATTTTCTTTTCTCTTCTCCTCTTTCTCTTCTCTTCTCTTCTCTATCCTCTCCTCTCTTCTCTTCTCCAGAGGAGCTGTGTCAGGAGCTGGTTCGGTCAGTAGAGGCTGGCGATGTTCAGGCTGCGTCTGCATGTGCTCAGTCTTTGGCTCGTCTGCAGACAGCATTGTCCATTCAGCCCTCCCAGAAACACTACACTGACATGGAGATCAGGTGAAAAAAAGAAAACCGCTCTCTTATTCACACACACTTTAAGAACTGTAGTGATGCCGATACCCTGCCCTGCTGTCATTTGATTGTTTGATCTCTGTCACCTGTTTTTGAGTCGCTATAAGTCCCATCTATACTTGTCTATATTTAAGCATTGTCTTTCCTCATGTTCCTTGCTCAGTTTTAAGTTTGCCAGATGTGCTTCTTCGTCAGCGTAAACCAGTAAAGCTAGATTTTATGTTTCTCACTAAACATTTTTCTTAGTTTTCTCTTCTCCTCTAGTCCTTTGTTGTTTCCCACTTGGATCAAGACCATTCTTTTAGTCAGTCCAGTGGATATCACTCAAAGCTTGCACCTCAGTGTCCAAGGTTCAATACCTTAGCCAAACACAGATCCAGCACACAATGAGTAACCCTGTCCTGATGAACCAGGGTGGTGTTGTGGACCAACATGACCAGATGCTGCAAAAGATCTAGCCTATGGCAAAATGGCTTATATGGTTGAGGTTATATTGCTTGCAGAAATGACTGACCTGCTCCCTCAGCTTCTTTTGTTGCAAGACCAGGAAAAATACTACTGTGGATAGCCTGTCCCCTGACTCCCAAATGGCCCAACTCATAGTCATGGGGAAGGCCTCATTGGTGCTCAGGACGAAGGGGGTGTCCTGCTGCAGTCCACTCAAATGCAGTTTGTTGATTTCTTTGCTCATAAACACCTTCCAAAACTGAGCTGACTCAGACCTGTTTGAGCAGGAAGCACACTTGCTGGAAGTTTTTCAGAACTTTCCACTGGTCAGAGCGAGAGAGAGGGTTAACCAGGAACTCAGTAATACCACGCAATGCCTAATGTCCACCAAACGGCCTCTTGGAGCAATCTGCTCATCTAGGTGGAATACATGCGCACAAACAGTGCCACTTCTTCTCCAGTATGTCACCTTTCGAATGTAAGTACGGAGTCTGAGGTTGACTTACTGAGAAACGTATGCTGTATCTGGAAGTGAGCACAAGATCTGGTAGTAAAGGCCCTGTGCTGCCAGAAGATCCTGGCACACTGCTGGCAGAGACTCTTTAGAGACAGAGAATCTTTATTCTGTACAGGGCAGAGAGTCTGGCTCTAGAACAGAGGTCTTTGCATGTTCTTGAGATTGGAACCCCAGTACATGAGGCCCTTCATAATGCAACAGCAGTTCAGTCTTCTTCCTACCCTGGACCTTACCTGTCAAACTTCTCTGTCTCTCGTCTAAAAGTTGTTTTGGTTGTCTACATGGTCTGCTGCCTTTGCTCAGACTCCAATACTGTCTGAAGTATCCTAGAGTCTAGAACCCAGACCATTCAGTGACTTTGTTCGGCAGCGTTTCTTGTTGGAGGGTCCTGTGAGGACTGGTGTGATCCCTGTCCCTGGTTTTATTTTTCTCATCTGTTTTGATTGACTGTTACTCCTCTGCCTCAGTTTGGCTCTGTTTAAGTGTTGCCTTTACGTCTGTTGCTCGCTCAGTATTGAGTTTGCGACCAATGCCTCTTCCAAAAACTTGTAAAGCTTGTCTTTGTTTATCAGTAAAGAATTTTCTCTGCCGCTCTATTTTTGTGTTGTTTTGCAGTTGAGCTCCCCTCAAGCTTGTAGTTAATCCTCCTGCAGGGTTTCTTAACTTGGGGGTTGCCATGTGATCCCAGGGGTCACAAGAGTGGTGCTATAAAGACACTTATCAAACATAGAAAAAATAAATTTGACGACTGCATGCAAGCTCTTTTGATTTACCTACAGGCCATGGAAGACAGGCTGATGTTGATTTATTGAGTTTTTATTGGGTGGGCTTGTTACTGAATGGGGTCTGAACTTGAACTTTTTCAGCACAAAGCTAAAGATTTATGGTTTGTGGCGAAATGTTAGCTAAGGAATGCAGGCTTAGCATCTCTGGGTGGGTAGGATGGCCCCTCGTCTCCCCCATCACTCAGCGTGATGCTAGTCAGTGCAGGCATCCGTTAGCTGACGTAACAGATCTGGCAGTTGGTGCTTTCCTCCGAGTGCGTTCGGCTGTCCAGTGACGTTGGGTTAGTGGCAGTTTGAAAAGATGCGGTGGTGCTTCACAGGACTCGGAGGAAGCCTGCGTTAGCCTTCACCCTCCTAGCGCAGGTGGCACTGTGTGACTGGGGGAGTCCTAATTAGTGAGTGGAATTGGAGATGACTAAATTGGGGGGAAAAATCTCAACAAAAAAAAGCCCTGTACTCTGAGCTCACACCTCCAGGTCCAGAGTTCAGTCCCGCCTACAAGCAGTGATGCACACTTGGTCATTCATATGCATGCAGTTGCTTGATTGCATGATAGAAATCAATCCACATGCTTTTTTTCTGTTACTCTATTGTTGATATGAGGTTCAGATTAAGTTTAGAAGTGGAATACTCTGATAAATTATGTTGTTATTTGAACATTATATGAATGCTGTTCTAGACAGTGGGGAGTTGGGTAGTATAAGAATTGGTGTTTATGTGGTGGTTAATTTGTTGAATGCGTGAAAAAGTTTGTTTACACTGACTTGATCTTATTGTGTCTGGTCCAGTTTGGCAGTGGTGGTGGAGGACGCTTCCTCTTCCTGTTGCGTTACAGTAAAAGTCTTCCCCCACACCCTGGTAGCTGCTCTCAAACAGCAGGTGAGTGCAAACATGTCACACCCCTGCACTTTTACAAACCCAGAACTAACAAGTAAAAGTATGTCAGCACATACCACAAGAGAGAAACCTGAACACCAGCGCTTTTAATTTGCATCCTCCTCCGACCTGTCTGATCTCTCTCTCTCTCTCACCCACACTGAACTGACGTCGTCCCCCTTCATGCTGCAGGTGTTTCTGGAGTACGGCTTCCACCCGCGTGTGCAGCGCTGGGTGATCGGGCAGTGTCTGTGTGCCGATTCACGCTCTTTAGCATCGTACGGCGTGCAGCGTGACGGGGACACTGCCTTTTTGTATCTGGTGTCGGCGCGGCAGGCTGGGCTGAGTCGGACGCTGGTTCAGCAGGACCAGGAGAACGCCCTGCTCACACCAAACCCACCCGCAGGAGAGACGCAGCCTGTGGCGAATGGACCAGCAGCACACTGGAGGGCCTACAGCACCCTGCCCAGCAGACTACACCATAATCACCACAATAACTCAGGTGGGTGTGCATGGATACACACATTCATTCATTCATTCATTCATTCAACCCACAGTACATTGAGGCTGACTCTCATTTGCAGTGTAGCTGAGCGTTAAACAGTACAGAGAAATTTTAAAAATTGTGGTGAAGTATAAGCCTGTAGCAGTGAAGCCAAAAAACAGAACAACAGAACTTTTAAAACAGTGAGAAAAACAAAACAACAGTTAAGCAACTGAAACAAATATGTCTGAACTGTTTACGGTGAAAGGAAAAATGAGTTCAGACACTCCTGTTTTTGTTTAACATTCAGTTTTACACACAATGTATTTTGATGTATGTTTATACATATTAATGCTGCAAAAAGGATCTCATGCATATTGCACCTTGTGTCGTTATAAACAATGGGCCTCATTCTCCAATATCTTCCCCTTTTTTTTTGTAAGAGCAGTTGGTGAATGAGGCCCATTGTTATTATAAGTTGAGAAGACTGGAAGTAGCAAGTAGCAATCACGATGAAGGTGAAGGAGCTTCCCAAAGTTGTCAGGGATAACATTATCAAACAACATTTGAATAGAAAACCCTACAGGGACACAGCAGACACCTTAAACATCCCTGTCAGTGCAGTAGGTTCACTAATATGTGGATGGAACCACAGCTAATCATCTTGGGAAATCTTGTGCCACACAAGATTTCAGAATGAGCTCGTGGATCAATGATAAAGAAGGTAAGATAGGAGCCAGCAGTAATTTGGAAAGAGTTACAGGATGACCGGAAAGCGGCAGGAACTACAGTAACATAGAGAACAGTAACAAACGAGCTGCACTGCTGCATCATCTCCATGCCTACACCCCATATAAAACTCAATAGCATTAGACAAACCAGAACAGTGGGCCTCATTCACCAATGTGTTCTTGAGAAAGGTCCTAAGAAAAAGTCTGCGTTAGATTCATGACGTGTTCTTAAACCTCAGAACTGCTCTCACCTTTGTGCTCTTGAGTGTGTGTAGATTCTGTTCTTACCTAAGAACAAACCCCAAATAAGAGAACACTGGTGAATGTCCGAATCTGTGAAAGTGAAAACTGCATAAGTGGGTTTTAAGAAGAAATTTCTTCCTAAGAACGGTTGGTGAATGAGGCCCAATGTTCTCTGGTCAGACTAAACAAAAATACAACTGTTTGGCAATAATTCAGCTCTTCATGCTTGGAGAATGAAGGGTTGCATGTTTGATCCCAAGAACACCAACAGTGAAGTATGAGGGTGGGAGCATCATGACATAAGACTATTTCTCAAATGGTACCGGAGCATTGCAGCATCAAAGCAAACCTGAATAAGGTGATGTACTGGGAGATATTAGAGGAGATTTTAATCTCATCGGCCAAGAAACTGAATCTGTGGACAAGATGGACATTTCAACAAGACAGTGACGCCAACCATACAGCCAAGATAACTCGAGACTGGTTTCTAAAAAAGAAGGTTAGGGCACTTGCATGGCGTAGCTAATCTCCTGACTTCACTTGCAGTTAAAATTTATGGAGGATTTTTAAAATTGCGAGTCCATCAGAGGGACCCCAGGAGTCTTGGGCAATAGTCAAAAAGAATGGGGCTAAAATTGAACCACAAAGTTACAAAAAGCTAATTACTGCTTACTTTGGATGTTTTAAAGCTGTTATAGCCAAAAATGACTTTGCATAAAAAGTGCTAATGTTATTTCTGGTGTCTAAATACTCTTTTCTTTAAAATGTATACATATGTTTTTTTATGAGTACTGACTGCTTTTTTGCTCATATTTAAAGGTTAAAAGATGTTGTGTGTAAATTTTAAGTGGGTATATTAAATAACAAACAAAAGTGTCTGAATACTTGTTTCCTCAAGTTGTAAACAATCAACCAATATTAATAAATAAAATAATAAAACCAACACACAAACACACAGTACAGCGGTACACAGCCCAGCAGACTATAGCAAAATCTCTTCAACTCAGCTGTATGAAAAAATAAAATCAACACACACACACGGTTGTGTGTGCAGAACCCGAATACAAGCAACTCTCACACATACATTTGAGCCCACACATTCAGCCTAATGAGCCTGTACTCCTACGGAATTCCTCGCTGCTTCCTTTGCTGCATTTGTGATTGTGTTTTCACTCAGTCACAAAAATCTGATTCTTGAACCTTGAGTTCCTGACAGTGTTCACTGTATATAGTAGAGTGTTTGTCACTTTGGTCTAGGAGTGCACAATATGATGATGTTTATCACTATCATGATAAATTACATGGCAGTAATTTGGCAGTATGCCTTTCTCAGCATATTGTGGATATCATCAGTACTTAAAGTTGTACTATGCAAGATTTGGTGATTTGGTGGAATTGTGGAATTGCACACAACATGCAGGCAAACATTTTGGAATGTGGGTTGTGCATCGAGAGAGTATTCAACGAGAACTCGGTCAAAACTTGGTAAACAACATAAACTCAACGTTGTGGTATGTATCATGAAAATGTTTAAGTATTGTGGTGTTATTTCTTCCATTTCACCCACCCCTACTTTCTGCCCTACCGCTGTCCAGTGGGATGCTCTGACAATAGCCCCCGTTAAGGAAATCCTAAGTGAAGATAGTGAAGTATTTCTTTATCCATCTGACCTCTTTTCAGGCAGCAGTATGGGCGGAGCAGAGAGGTTAGGCTTAGGAGAGATCCGTGACCTGATCAACCTGGAGATGCCACAGCTAAACGAAGCCCTGGTGTCCAACAGATCTAACACACAGGTGCCCCACACAGACACACACACACACATTCACATCATCATAAATGTGTGCTAGAGCTTTAATCAGGACTTTTTTGGTCCAACCTGACCCACAGCATCAGGGCTAGAATCCGAACTCGACTGTAGCCCACAAAATTCTGTCTGAACCGACTGTAGCCCACAAAATTCTGTCTGAACTCGACTGTAGCCCACAAAATTCTGTCTGAACTCGACTGTAGCTCACAAAATTCTGTCTGAACCGACTGTAGTCTAAAAAAATTCTGTGTAAACTGGAACACCACCATTGAGAATCATCAGTGGTGGCATCTATTAAGTTAGGTACTTAAAGTTTTATCAAAAATGTATCAAAAATTCCATGTGGATTAATTTATTCCTCAGCCAGTTTTCTGGAACAACATCCAAATAGTTTTTAGTTTAATTAAACTTTACATTGTTTTTGTGCTAGAATTTGGCTGCCAACCACTCAAGCGCCAATTTAAACACAACTTAAGGTAATAAAATTAGGGAGGAATAATAAATTACTTGATAATTATTTGACAAAAACTAAAGCAGTGCTTAATGAAGGCCACAATCAATAAACAAAGGTAAACAGGCTATTAGAACCACAAACATACAATTTAACCTTAAAACGAGCCCCACAAAAAATGAAGTTATAAGGTGAAAAATCGGAATTGGTTCAGGCAAATACTTCAAGCTCTTATGTATGCATAAACTCATGTATTGTTCTCTCATTCTAGCTGGGCTGGGCCTGCCCGTCTTGTACCTTCATTAACAAACCCACTCGACCTGGCTGTGAGATGTGCAGTGCTGACCGGCCCGAGGGCTACACCGTACCAGGAGGCTACAGACCAGACGCTCTCGAACTGCGCCGCATCCAGCAGGAGAAAGAGGCCATCAGACAGTATCAGCAGGTGAGACATCTCAAACACGCACGCCTTGACACTTCATGCTAAAACAGTGGTACCCATTGCTGCCCCTGAGCATCCCGTCCTGCACATTTTGGGGTTGTTCCTGCTTCAGTGATCCGATTAATCAGCTAAATAACTATACCTGAGCTGAATCAGGGGTTTTAGAGCAGGGAAAACACTAAAATATGCAGGACAATTCCAGAGTGGCTGGATACATTTTCAGATGAGATTGGCATACATGAGCATGCGCACATACAAATAAAAAACACAAACAGACTTGCAATAAATCCCATGAACACAAAACTTTGTTTAGAGCAGCTGTGCACAACTGGAGGGCTGGTGTCCAGCACGCTTTGGTAGCTTCCTTACTCAAACACACCCATAAACCTGACAGATAAGTGTAATCACAGTGTTTGAGCATGTAAATCACCAAACTGTGCTGGACACTGGCCCTCCAGGACCAGAGTTGTGCGCCCCTGGTTTCTAAGCAGGTTTCTAAGCAGTGGAGTAGCTTCTTAAAGGAACAGATGCGGCAAAAAAACATAAAAATTATACAGTTTTCCATTTACACCAGATGTAGTTGATCAGCCAACACATGCTTGGTATCCAGAACGTCTTTACTTTAGTGCTGGAGCTACAAGGCTAATGTGGCAAATCTTTTCCATAAATCCATCTCCACCATCTCTCAACCAGGTCTTTATTAAGGTCGTGCAGACTTGTCAGTGGTTTAGGACACCATATGACTTACTGTGAACTATAAAAATGAACAGAACCTCATCACGTAGGTGAACGTTGAGGGCATTTGTTTAGACAACAGGTATTGTGCTGAATTCTGACTCTGTGCGCAGGCATACAGATGTATGGATCCCACTGCATTCACGACTTCAGTAGCTTCTTTTTATTAATAATAATTCATCTTTTTTTTTTTCAAGCCGAATATATATGTTTAAAATAGAAACAATGGACGTTACAGACATCTAGTGTCCAAATGCCTGCATGAAGCCTGTTGTTTTAAAGTGGCTGACCGCTGCATTCATCTACACGGTGAAGTGTTCATTTTTATGGTTCACAGTAAGTCGTGCTGTGTTCCAGGGGTGACCAGCCCTGGTCTTGGAGATCTACCACCCTGGAGAGCTCAGATCCAACACACCTTGCTTTGATATTCTGATGCCCCTGAAGGCCTTCATTACCTGAATCAGGTGTGATAGACTAAGGTTAGAGTGATGCAGGGTGGTAGATCTCCAGGACCAGGATTGGGCACCTCTGCCATACCCTAAACCACGTCAACAAGTCTGCGCTACCTTAATGAAGTCCTGGGTGAGGTTTGAGCAGGTGGAGAAACGTTTTGGGGATGTTTCTAGAGAAAACATTTGGGTGACTATTGAGTTCTAGTGTTTGTTAGCCACATTAGCCACATTAGGCATATGGACACTGTGATTGCAATGTCCAGACATTGAGTAGCTCCAGTGATAAATTAAAGAAGCAAACCCTGTCCTGGCTAGTCAGCCGCATCTGGGATAACTGGAAATTGGTGTAAACTGGCTTGAGTGGTTGGAGGGAGACTCAAGAAGAGAAAGGCCGTATTTTTAAGGAACTCTTCTTCTAAAAAGCAGCGTCGTTTACCATGAAATGTTGCCGTAGGCTTTAGTCACAAAACATACTTTTCCTGAGCCTCAGGGAAGTGAGCGAGTGAATCTGATGCATTATGGGTAGGCAGGAACTTAGGCTCTGATTGGCTCCTCGGTCTGACTCTCTTCTCTTCTGTCTGGTTTTCTTTTTTTAAAGGAGAAAGGGAGGAGGGAAGAGCTGAGGGCCAGCAACTCACTACAGTACAACCTCAACCAGGACTACTGACAATAAACAGAACATCTCATAAACTTTACATCCACTCACACATCAGACACACCCACACTACACACTTCGAAACTTGAAGGAGCTTGAATGACTACTGACACACAAACACAAATGACCTTCGGACAATCGCTCATTACAAAGACGAGTCCCTGCACAGCATTTTTAAACGGGACTGTTTATCTCAGAACAAAACAAGCCAAAAACTGAACATGTCAACGTGCTCAACCTGTTTGATGTCATGCATGCCAATCTCATCTATCCAGCTCAGCTTTAACAGAGAACTTCACTCAGAAAAGCCAACCGGGCTCACATTGAATGAAAGCATTCAGATCAGCAAAGCTGGCGTAAAGGGTGAAGTGGTCTTTTAAAGCCACTCTGATTTGCAAACCTAATGTGTTTACATTGTTGTTATGGTGTGTGTGTTTGTAAGTTTGATGGGTAACACTTTGCTGTAGGGCAGTGTTCGTAAGACAGCATGACACCTACACAAGCTCGTCATGGCAGCAGACGTGAACCTACATAAACATAGGCATCGTTTTTTATAAAGGCTGCTTTTGTTGACGTTGGGTTGTTCCCTGACACTTTTGGGGTGAAATGACTTGCAATTTAACAGCTGACCTTGCAGCTCAGTGGACTTTAGACTAAAATCCTTCTGCTTTAAGTGACTCTGTACCTTAATTATCTGATTTTATTAAAACAATGATCGAACGTTAAATTTTGTCACTACCGAAACTGCCGTAATACTACCTAAATCGTTTTAGTAGTGACTGTTTCGGTGCTGACAATTTTAGCAAATTTTGTGCAGAACTCAAAAACGCAGCCGATGGATGGATGGATGGATGGATGGATGGATGGATGGAATTATATATATATAAAAGTATATCTATTTATTTTCATATATACATGGCATAGGAGACAAATTTGCTGTATTGACATGACTAGCAAACACAGCTGTGAACAGCTGTACCATGAAATCATAATGTTTTTCATTAAAACACAAAAAAAGTCTACCTAATTGCAGAAAATATGTGTTTCTGTACTGACAAATCATAATGTTCCACACTGAATTTTAGACTTTGGGACACATTTACTTCAAAACAATGGGATCTAACTGCTCACCATGTGGCCATGAGGGACAGGGATGCAGCCCCACTTCCTGCTCTAAAATGCAAAGGCGTGGCTGAAATAAGGCCCCGCCCACAGACAGAAACACTGTGTTTCAGTAGTGACATGAAAACATGGGACGGTATATATATATTTTTTTTTATTTGAAGGATTTTTATTTAAAAATGAACTACTCTAAATCTTTCAGCTTCACCTAAAAGAAGCAAAGAAGATCTTAAAAACAAAAACAAATGTTTACAAATAAATATGGGTCTATGTCAGTTGAGGATTTATGTACATTTTATGTATGCAAAAGTTTGCTCTCCCCCAGTAAAATCATGCTTTGTTGGTTTTCTAAGTGAAAATAAATTAACACATCCTGTAATTTGATGTAATTTAATGCACAGTTACACTTATGGAATTTAATATGTTGGAAAAAATAATGAAACACAAAATAGAGCCACATAGGCACATTTGATATTCAATATTTTATTTTTTCCTAATACGTTAAACTCTGCAAATACATTAAAATTGTGTACAAAAATCTGCAGAAAAAGCCATGTTTAAGTGTGTTCTGTGTAGAGAATATGCTTATTTTCACCCAGAAAATCGGTAAAACGTCTTTTGTCTGGGGGTGTTCAAACGTTTCCGTCCGACTGTAGGTGTCGTGTAGCCCTATGAACACTGCCCTGCAGTAAAGTGTTGCCGTTTATTCTTGATGATGACTCCTTTCAGTTGCCTCAGCAGCTCCAATCAAAGTTTTACCTCATAGTGAACTGTGAGGTTGTTGATTTTGACTCGGAAACAAAGTGTCATTTGAAAATGTTTCTTTAGATCGTCAGCTATTGGACACCATACCTCTTTCTTTAGCTTTAGAGTACGCCAAGTGGCAGGGTTACCACTTACTGTAATAAAATGACACACTGCACCTTTAAATAAAATGTACACTTTCTGGCCACTTTAGGGGAGACAGCTTTCTTGTAGTTCCACCTTGTTGATGTACAGTTTGTGTTCATCTTTTAGCTCTTCATCTTTGGTCAGTTTCTGGCCTCCGAGCCGCTCTTGTTTGGCTATTTTTGGGTGGTTCTCCGCTCTCAACCTATCAGAGACCTCGTACCAGCACCGCACACACTACCATGTCAGTGTCACTGCTGTGCTGATAATAATAATAAGCATAATAATAATAATAGTAATAATCAGAAACTGACCAATGATGAACGGGGCAGAAGGTATAAATTGTTTGTGACAGCAGATGAGATACAGTCAGTAATTGTACACCTACAAAGTGGAGCTATAAGTGGACCTCAAAGTGGTCAAGGAGCAGAAATACAAGGATATAGAGTAGGAGATTTTAATGAAGTGCATGACGGGTGTTAAAAGAGAATGCCAGCGATTTTTATCAGCTACTTCATATTTCAGTCATTAAGATGTAAACAAAGTCGCTCAGAGTGGTTTGGGCTGAAATGCTCTGTTCCAGAGAAACTTAGAGTCAGAATTGCTCACAGTGGTGGTGATAGGAACCAGACGTCCACCTCTCACATGAAATGGTTATAAATACACTGCCTGATGTCTGAGACACTGTTTATGATAGTTTTGAGAAAGTTTTTAGCCTAAAACATTTTTTTTTTCATTTATTCATTCTGAGGCACAGTAGTCCTCAAAGAAAACATTTTTTTTCCAGATTAACCACTATTTTAGCCTCATCGACACGTCAGAAGACGTGTAGGTTCACTGGTCATTTTCAATAGTGAGTTAAATGGCTGTATTTGTGTCATAGACCACTGGTTTCTGTCACCACCACTGTAAAGAAATCCAAGTTGGGAAAGCTTCTCTACAATTAAGCATTTCACACCAAACCACTCTGAATAACTGTGTTTACATTTCAGTGTTCAAATTCTTTGGAATTTTGAAAATTGGTAGAATTTCTCTGTAAACTTGCTAGATTTTTAGTCGAGGGCAGAGCTCAGGGGATACATTGGCTGCTTGTGGCTGGAATGGCTGCCTACATGGCACAGTGCAGTACCACGCAATAAAATAGAGGCTGTCAACTGCACTGTGCAGTTTGGGGTTTTCCCAGCTCTAAGATATCTCATCGTCCCCATGAAGGCCCCCAGAAATAGCTGATCTTTGAACTATGCACCGTTGGGGCTCTATATAAATAGAAATGAAGTTTTAGTATTTGTAATCTCACTGATGTGAGAATTGAGTGAACTTCAGGTTTGATTATTCTTTTTTAATTCTACCAGAAGTTGATGTTGAGTACTGTACAGCTCAATTGAGTGTGCAAGAAAGAGAGAATTTATTTTCCTTCATTTTGTCAAATGAATGTCATTTGGTTAAGTTTGACCACTCTTTTGATTGTTCAGTTATATCTTGTATGGGTTTGCTTGTGGTTCCTTTACTGTTCCTGAATGTAAGAAGATTGTATCTGGGCTGAATGAAATGTGTAAACCGGCATCGGTTCTTTGTGGCCCTCTTACACATTCACTGCACAATTTGAACCAAGGGCACTTAATAGTAAATGCATGTTTGTTTATTTATATGCGTGTCTGTGTTGAAGTGTCTGGGTTCTCTCTTGGTTTATGAACGTTAAAGTGCTTGGCAGTATCTGTACAGTCGGCCGTGGTAATTATTTAACTGAATTGTCTTTTTGAGTCTCGTAACTGAACATTTCAAAACTAACTTCTACTATTTTCATTTTCCTGGGTAATAAAAAAAAATATATTTTTTATATATTTTAGTTAAAATTTTAGGTTTAGTGGTTCTAACGTAGTATCCAGAATTGTAGTATGTGTGGGGAATTCCCAAAAAAAGTGCACAATTAAATCATTGAGATGTAAAAATCCAAGACGTTTACGTTGTATGTACAAGTAATTTAGATTGGTTTGATATGAAATGGTTCAGTTACTGAACGACTGATGTCTTTACAGTGGTGGTGATAGGAACCAGGGGTCGCCATGTCTACAACACAAATATAGCCATAACCATTTTATGTAATAACTTTCTGTGAGGGAGGTTTTAGAGGTGGATGCCCGGTTCCTATCACCACCACTGTGAATAATTCTGACTCTCTAGAACCGAGCAATTCACACCAAACCACTCTGAATGATTTTGTACATCTTAATGGTTTAATTATGCAGACATAAAAAGGTGATTCCTGACTGAAGGTGATTTCTGATCACATCCTGGAAATACTACCAGTTTTAGGCATAGTGCTTATTTACCTCTTGTCACGTTAATGATAGCCAATTTCGAGGAACACTGGAGTCCTGAAACAAAAAGCATGAGGCTTAGAACAGAAGGACATCACTGTTGGGACAGAGGGGACATAAATAAACCCAGGTGTAGTGCACCAGCCATTACCGCAGAGCAAAGCATTTTCTCCGCATGCCAACCCACAGCCGGCCACGCCCTTACCTGCTAAATAACTCCACTGCCTGACATAGACTGGCAAGTCCTGAAGAGACTTAGCTCGTCCCCTCTCCCTCCCACCGTTGACAGGAGGGGATGTCTGCCATTGCTGTATATACCCCACGCTTGTGGACCACTGTGAGCTTAAGGCTGTAAAGCCATATACAAATAAGTGAATGGTGCTTTAATATACTTCATGCAGTGGAACTGCAGCAGTGAGGGTGTGGTCTGAGCAGAGGGTGGAGGAACATCCAGTGGGTAGTATAGAAGTGTGATGCCCGCTTGGTGGCCAAACACTACTTTATAAGAAGGATAGGGAGTTTTCTGCTAACAAATGGCACCAGATGGACTTCTTCGCCCAACACCTAGAACCAAACTAACCCAGGTCCTCCAACGCATCAATCTGCAATATAAAGGACAGAGAAGCAACAGCCCCCTGCGGCCCTAAGTCAAACAAACGATCACTCACAGTACTCTACCGAATCACATCTGGACTCCCCATTGGAAATATCCAACATGCTGGTAAGGTCTGAAAAACTAGCCATTGAGACTGGCTCTCCTCTTTTTTTTGGTCTTGGGACATGAGCAGTGGGAGGTGATCTTATTGGTGAAGCATCTGCCCATGTCCTAAGTGGAAGTCCAGATACTGTACTTCACTCATCACATCACTGGGTTCTCTGTGAACTTTGCCCATTTCAAAGACTCGACGACCACCTTCTGTGAACCCTGACCGTTTCAAAGATTTGAGGACCGCCACTGTCGGTCATTATTGTAGACCAGAGGTCACTAATAGGCGGACTGCAGTACGAGTCCGGACCCAGACGCTGTCCTAAGCGGACCTGGTCCTATAACCAGTAAACTATGGATAATTATTTAATTTCAACGGGGTGGTCCTATTTTAATCGGCCTAACTTTTCTAGCCTTTACGGTAGCTTTAGCGGCACGGGAGACTCACAGACCAATCGCATGCGTTGTAAAAATCACACATGACGCTACTCAGCCAATCAGACTTGAGCGAGTGACGCACAAACGGGAGAGACAAGGCGAGACACAGCAGTCGGAGAAGAAAGTGAGCCAGATTATTTCACATGGCGTGCTATAAAAAGAGAAAACTGACAGTAAATGTTGCTGAAATATGACTGAACGGGACTTTATTTGACTGGACATTCAGCTGTTGACTGTGTGAGATGCTGATAAACCTACTGGGCCACTTCAGTAAACAGTATATGGCACTGAGTCATGGTGCAGGTCAGACATTATGATGTTCCGGATCTTCACCTGAGGAACTTTTCTCTAACTGGACCTTATTGGATTTTAATTAAAGACCCCTCTTGTAAACTATAATGTCATCCCAATAAGCTGTGGCATATGCTCAGAGGGGCCCATCAGGCATTGAAACATTTCAGGTTTTCCTAAGACCATGAATGGAACACCTACAAATGGATGTAATCCAAAAGGAATGGAGAAGGCCATTGTCTCTTTAGACCATGGAGACAAGTGAATCTGCCGGTAGCCCTTGATTTTAACCAAGGCATGTTTTGTTACATTTTAATATGGTTAGTTAGGATCTTTCAGGATCCCAGGCTGCTGGACTGCAAAAGTGCCTCACTCTTAGTGATACCCCTTGAGTCTTGATCAGTACTTGGTATGTAACGTCCAGATTTGTGAGACCCGAAGTACTTGACTGACCTCCATCCCAGTAGATCTGTTTGGGTTCAGCTCTCACTGGCTTGGCTGTGACACTCTGGGTAGAACAGGAGAGGAAGGACAAAAAGACAGAAGCAAGGTCTAGTCAGTTGGGCTTCTCTCTCCAGCAGGGTCTGTAATCCCAATCATTCAGTAGCTAGCCACATGCTACAGGGCTTCCTTCAGACAGTGTCTCACAATTGTCTTTAAGGATCATCATGGCCAAGTGGATGGAGTTCATGGATAGGAAGAGAATTAAGTGGCTCTTCAGGGTGGATAGATCTGTTGTTTGCCCATCAGTAATCTTTGCAAACTTGTTGTTGATGCTGCAGACCAGTGAGAGCCTTGTGTTGCTTGTCCTGCATCTTCAAAAGGCACTGGACTATCTGTGCAAGAGCACTCTGATCCATGTCCATGTTTCTTTCCCACATTTTCAAGTGCAGTGCAACAAATTTCACAGAAGTCTCCTTGGAGAACACAACAGACTCAGAATGGGCGAATAAGAGCTTTTATTTAAAAGGAATGGTTTAAAACAGAGGTGCCCAACTCTGGTCCTGGAGGGCTGGTGTCCATCACAGTTTGGTGATTTACCTACTCAAACTCACCTGAACACACTTATCTGTTAATTGCCAGGTTTATTGGGTGTGTTTGAGTAGGGAAACCTCCAAACTTTGCTGGACACCAGCCCTCCAGGAACGGAGTTGTGCACCCCTGGTTTAAAACAAAAATCTCAATAGGGAGAGAGGGACTGAATGTTAGGCCTGGGAAAACAAGGGTCAGGTGTGCTGCATTAGCCTTTACCTGTCCACTCACCCAGACCTCTTCCTCCTCATGCTGTCCAATGCCGAACAATCAGCCTGCTTACTGTAGTTTTTATTTAGTCTTATTGTACTGTTGTACCTCTGGCGTTCGTTGATGGTTATGGTGTACTGTATCAAAATTTGAGAACTTTCTAATTGAGTCTGTGTATGCCAGGCACAGGAAGCGGAGCGCAGGGAGAACTACGCTCGGCTGGTACAGATGGATGGCCAGGAGCTGGTGCCGAACCCAGAGAGTGTGGAGTGCAGGATCTGCTACCTGCAGCTCCAGCCAGGAGAGGGAGTTCTACTGCGGGAGTGTCTCCACTGCTTCTGCAGGTAAGAGAGCTGGAGAAGAAGAGGAATAGTAGACAGATCATGTGTTGCGTCCACATAGTTGAATGAAATCTCCTTTTTCATTTGCTTTGCTTGATTTTGCCCAATCTATAAGCCCTGCTAATTAGCCCTGCAGGTATGGGCAGCAGATTAGGACAAAATCAAAGGAAGCAATTAAGTTTCACTCAGTTGTTCAGATGCTGTCAAGGATGGACGGAGGGATGGTTCATTAATGTGCTTGTTTAATGCATGAATAGAATCCTGACAGAAATAACCACAGAGACAATATGATGTATCTCTTTATGTGTGCATAGAGAGTGCCTGCGTTCAGTGATCTTGCTGTCGGAGGACCCTCAGGTGGCCTGTCCATACAGAGACGAGGCCTATGCGTGTGACTATACCCTGCAGGAGAGAGAGATCCGCGCTGTGAGGACTCACACATGACACTGCATCAGAAAACCCTGACCAGCTCTACTCAAACAAAGAGTGTTGATGATTAACCGATTATTCATTAACCAACAAAAGCATGTGTTCAACCAAGGCTTTTAGTTCATTTCCACCAATTGATATTTTGGTAGGTGGGCTTTTTGTTCAACTTGAGGATCGTTTTTTAGTTGGACACATTTAGGAGCAAGACTGCAACTTGTTCTGGCAGACCTACTTAGACCCCGCTTACTCCTGGTCACTTCATGTGTCTAATACCTGGAATGTATCCTGATAAGATTTTAGCCACATGCATTTACACTTGGTAGTCAAATGCATCTCTGGTTAGTCAGACTGAAATCTGATTGCTGTGGGAAGGAATATGCAAATCTGCTCATTACACAGCAACCAATTACCAGTTGTTTATCCGTTCAGCCTCTTTGCCTGCAAGCTGTTTTGCTCAGTATTGTCTGTCCACATCGCTGTTAAGCATGTTGTTTTGTGTGGGTCCCCAGCCATGTGCGTGCTTCATGATAATCTTCCTTGCAGACACATACTGGGAGGGGTTTCGGTTGTGCTGGGAGGGGTTTTGGTTGTGCTGGGAGGGATTTTGTTTGTACTGGTAGGAGTTTCAGTTGTACTTGGAGGAGTTTTGGTTGTACTGGGAGGAGTTTCAGTTGTACTGGGAGGGGTTTTGGTTGTGCTGGGAGGGATTTTGTTTGTACTGGTAGGAGTTTCAGTTGTACTTGGAGGAGTTTTGGTTGTGCTGGGAGGAGTTTCAGTTGTACTGGGAGGGGTTACAGTTGTACTGAGAGGGGTTTTGGTTGTACTAGGAGAGGTTTCGGTTGTACTGGGAGGAGTTTTGGTTGTACTGGGAGGGGTTTCGGTTGTACTGGGAGGGGTTTCATTTGTGCTGGGAAGAGTTTCAGTTGTACTTGGAGGGGTTTCGGTTGTACTGGGAGGAATTTTGTTTGTACTGGGAGGGGTTTCAGTTGTACTGGGAGGAGTTTCAGTTGTACTGGGAGGGATTACAGTTGTACTGGGAGGAGTTTTGGTTGTAGGGGTTTCATAGACATAGCTCAAATGCGTCTCAGTCGACCACCCGAAGTGGTTTAAGTGATCAGATTTGTATCTCTTTTAAATGTGTCTTGGGTGCGTTTACATTCCTATGTGACTTGTCCTCATCCAGATATAATCCTGATACTCAAGACACATGAAGTGACCAGGTGTAAACAGAATCAAAGATGCACAACTCTGGGTTTTCTGGAGTTGACTCCTTAAATCCATTTAGTTTTAGCCTTAAGCGATAGCCTACAAATGTGTTTGTTAGCTAACAGTTCGTCTGCGTATTTAGCTCCATCACAAAAAAAAACGCTAATAAGCGATGAGCTACTGACTTTTTGTTGACATTTGTTCGAACTATGCATATGAAGTTCAAGCCTGCTTCAGTCATGCAATATATGTTCATTATTTTGGGCTAATAATGTCTGGTAAAAGTAAGTAAGTAGACTACATGTTTCTATCATATCTGTTATGTTGGGTGGCATTTATTCATTCACTAAATTCTAAAGCCTTGTTTATATAAAACGCAGTGCTGTGGTGTTTTTTTTTTTAGTGGGTTAGGATTTTAGCTTTGTTGGTTAACGATTAATTACTGACTAATAATGGTCAGGTATTGACAAAATGTGCATCTACTTCAAACCTATTATGTACTGTTATACTAATATATGCACATATATACTCTCACACGTCATATACAGAAGTTAATGTATGAGTGCATGTATATAAATCACTACTGTGCTGGTTGTTTCATTGATTTTGCGCCAGCTGGTTTCGGGTGAAGAGTACGAGCGCTGGTTACAGAGGGGTCTGTCGGTAGCCGAGTCCCGCTGTGAAGGCAGTTATCACTGTGCCACCACAGACTGTCCTGGCTGGTGTGTGTACGAGGACACGGTCAACACCTTCCACTGCCCCGTGTGCAGCAAACACAACTGCCTGCTTTGCAAGGTAGCATACGCAGACACACATAGAAACACAGTGCAAGCGTCTAAATGCACATGCATGTACACTTACGTTTGCTCACAACATGTCAAAGTGAAAAACTCTCTCTCTGTGTTTCTCACTTTCAGGCAATTCATGAAGGGATGAATTGTAAACAGTACCAGGATGATCTTGCTGCTCGCGCCATCAATGACACTGCAGCCCGAAGGACCAGAGACCTGCTGAAGGTCATACACACACACCTTATTGCTACATATCTATATATCACCCTTATTATTATAACTGTCCTGTGTTGTGTGACTGCCACAGGCTGCTAAATTTCCTTCTGGATCAATAAAGTATCCATCTACCTGAACAGGATCTGGAAAACAGGCTCATAGTGAATTTGTTGCTTACAGAACCATCAAACACAGATTTAATACATCCTACAACCAGCAGATGGCACCATTTGTGTGTCAACCTACACCTGACTGACTTCTCCACTGGGATACTCAATAATTCATGTTGAATTAATTAATTTGATTCATTTCTTATTTTGTATTTGCTTTACTGATTTGTTCATTTCGCTTCTGTCTTTCTCTGCTCTTTCTCTCTTTCCTTTCCTCAGACTCTGGTCAGGTCTGGTGAGGCGATGCACTGTCCCCAGTGTGGCATCATCGTCCAGAAGAAGGAAGGCTGTGATTGGCTGCGCTGCACTGTCTGTCACACAGAGATCTGCTGGGTCACCCGAGGCCCACGCTGGGGTCCAGGGGTGTGTAACCAATAAGACTATAAGATATTCTCGGTTTGAGTTCAGCGTCCTGTTCTGAACGTTCTCCCTTTCCTCGCAGGGACCCGGGGACACAAGCGGGGGCTGCCGCTGCAACGTGAACAAACAGAGATGCCATCCAAAGTGCCAGAACTGCCACTGATGGAGGAAAAAGAGCGAGAAGCAATTAGAAAGAATAATGAAAGAAATAATCAAAAGCCAAAGTGGAAGGAAGGAGGAAGGTGTAGGAGAAAAAGAAGCCAAAGCGGAAACCAAAGCTGAATATCTGTTACTTCACAGAAATATGATTAAGGCAATAGTACTGAATGAAATGCACTTTTCTAAACACTGTAAATATCCTCATATTTATCTGTCTTACTCCTAAGAGCTATACTACACTGGTAAGAAGTATTAATATGCATTAGTGCCTTTGCTTTCCTGTTCTAAACTACAGAATCACTAATAGAACCACAGAACCAGGTTGGTATTAAGGATCGTACACATCCTATATGAGTTTTTTAAAATCCAATGTGTACTTTTTTTTTTAAAACCACAAGACTCTCAGCTACATAACATACACATATCAGCACCCGGGCGACATGCCAGTTTGCAGAGAAACTTTAACTGTAACTAAACAACTGGAAGTCTGGAAATATGGAGGGGACACTGGAGAATGTTCTAGTCTGACAGAATCAACAGAACTCCTCAGGATGACTGCGCTTAACTCAGTGCCTTATGGTGTGTCTGCAAGTAGTGAATAATTCCAAATTTTCTTTTGTAGATATTTTTGTAGAACTTAATATGACCTTTCTAATAATTTAATGTAAACCTGAAGCTTTCATGCTTTAAAGAGATAAAAATAAACATGGACAATATTACAGTGTTTTTTTTATGCTAAGGGAATTATTTTCTTTGTTTTGTTTACTGTCTCACACTAAAGGTTGATAATCAGTGTAGCAGCAGCCGTTCATAATTTCCAGTTCAACTGCACTACTAAATAGAACAGGCTACGTACACAATAGGTTCTACACAAAGGAACCACAAACATTTTCGGTCTGAAAACTGCTGCTCGTCCATCTTCCAATCACCATTAGCAATTTACTGAATGTTCACATTATAAGAATTAAGGAAGGAAATATACATTGGTAAAGGCTAAATAAAAGACTAGTTAATGTCATGTATTAATAATGAATTCACACCCTCTTCATTTAATGAACTAACAAGGCTTTAATGATGCATTTACAGGGCAGAAACAATTACTAGCAGTTTTTGAACAATGTCCATAGCCTGTGAAGTTCAACAGCTGATCTCATACGATGAGAGATCCGTAGTGGCCGTGGTGAGAGTTCACAGATGTGCTGAAGGTCCATTTAATTCCTTTTTGCATCATTTTGCATTTATTTTCTTCCTAACATTTGCCCAGTTATCTGAACACATCCTTAACTTCTTGTCTTCTACACATAAACGGAGTAGGGCATTAATACAAGTCCAGACTGTGTGCGGTTTCAGTAAGAATAGATCTTGTGGTGAAGAGCACTGCGTATCGTTTGGCTAGACTTGGCCCTTGATTGATCTTGTACAGCTTGAAGTAATCAGGTTTTTTTTGCTTCTCTCCTTTGGTATTGAGTCTTCTGCTTACTGTGTACTTTAGGATGTTTGTCCTGATGCCGGAATTGAGCAATCCAGTATTTCTGACATAATTTTATCAGCTCATAAAGTCCAATCTCTGCAAAAAGAGTAAAATAATGGATGCAGGTTTAGCAGATTTACTGGGTGCCACCATCTCTTAGTATTCTGTCACTCAGAACCGGGTCCACCTTGAAGATATGACTTGTTTAACATGGGTGTTTCTCCGTGGGGCCATGAATTTGGATGGCCTTCTTGCAATTGACTGAAATGTACGACAGGCGGCAACAGTAATGTGGTCACTGTACTGGACTGTAGTGGTGAAGAGGGAGTTGATCCATAAGGCAAATACATCCCGACCCTCACCTGTGGTCATGAGCTGTGGGTAATGACCGAAAGAATGACATCGCGAATACAAGATCTTTCTTCACAGGGTGGTGGGCTGCATTCTACTGACCGGGTGAGGAGCTCGGTCATCCGGGAGGAGCTCGGAGAAGAGCCGCCACTCCTCCGCTTTGAGAGGAGCCAGTTGAGGTGGTTCAGCATCTGATCCGCATGCCCCCTGGATGCCTCCCGGTGGGGGTGTGCCAGGCACGGCCTACTGGGACGAGACCCCGGGGTCGTCCTAGGACCCGCTGGAGGGATTATATCTCCAGGTTGGCCTGGGAGCGACTGGGGCTCCCCGGAAATGAGCTGGAGGAAGTTGCAGGGAACAGGGTCATCTGGGATTCTTTGCTCTCCCAACTGCTACTGCGACCCTATCTGGACTAAGCGGTTAATGATGATGAATGAATGATGTACGACCTCTGTTGAACTGGATCAGGTTACTCTGGCCATTCTTCCTCCAATTTCAGTAAGAATCTTGGCCTTGTATCCTCCAATTCTAAATCCTCTAACGTTCATCCTCTTGATGCTTGGTCAGCTGGATTGGTGTAGGCTGTGTGTTCTCCCTTACTGCTGTGATACTGTTCGGTACAAAAGGCTTGAAGCGAATGCTTTCTTTCGAGATTTACTTCAGCGCTGTAGTGCCATCATTCTTGAAGTGGGACTTGAAGTTTACGTCTCTACTTTGACTGTAACAATGGCTGCAGCCAGATCCATTCCACTTCCCCCATGAAGATGCTGCAGCAGATCTGTACCTCATTGTTGGTAAAGAGAAGGTGAGTAGCAGTGCCATGAACATCTTCAGAGGCATCAGGAAAAGGATGTACTTCTGCTGAAAGTAGAGGTCTCAATTAAATGGACTTTATGCATCTGGTTACACTTAAGTCTGCAAGGAACTTCAGATCTACAAACCATTTCCACCATTTCTGGGCGTGCAAACCCCCTCATCCTCATCAAGTTTATTCTGCATGTATATTTAGAATTTGAACCTGTCCCTGTGCACCATTGAACACAGGCAGTGCTTTTCTAACCAGTCCTCAGACCATCCATGTGTGTTGGGAGAGCAATAGTGTGGATGATTTCAGGGGCCCTGAGGACCAGTTTGTGAACCACTGACTTAAGCATGTTATGGCTTAGGTCTTGGTCCTGTTCTCCAGGAGCTGTCACTTCTGTGGTAGCTGTCTCTCCTCCATTTCCTGCTGTACTTTGTATGGCATGAAGTCCATAAGTGTGTGAAAATGTGGCCCTGAAGAAGGGAACTGATCATCCTGAATCTCTTCCCTTAGTCTTACCTTCAGGCCCTCACTTAAAAACCAAAAAGATCTTAATCTTGCACGTTCTCCTGATAGAACATGGATTTTATAACCACCATCAGAGCTAGGACTCTGGAAGCTTTTTGGTAAGGTGAGGTCCTTGAAGAAACTGCTGACTCAGAGGCATTTCCTAATAAGCGAATCTTCTTTTCCTTGGGTGGTACACCCCATGGTAAGGAATGTACCACACTCTGCCATCACTGTGACTGAAGCGATTGCTGGGTACTACTTCCATAGACTTCACTGAGAAAGTACCCACTTGAGTCTTAATGAGTTTTGAGAAGCTCTACACAGAATGACTCTGAGCTGTATTCCTGACCTCCTGTGCTTCCATTCTATCTATCGAGCCCTGTGGTCTTCCAAGCTGTTGTTTTTAGCCGTCCCACGCTCTCGCAAGAGATTTAAAGGAGATCCAGCCTTTTTTGTTGCTGCCCCAATACTCTGGAACAGCCCCCACAGTAGATAAGTCAAATTTTAAAGCTATGCACTTAGGCAGTCAATTTAAAGACTATGCATTCAGTCATCTGTTCTGTTTAGGTTTGTTCTGATATTCTTTGACTTTTACTATTTTCTTATTTATTTACGTTATTTTCCTTAACTTATTGTGCAGTCTGGTCTAGTCATGGTGGCACCTGTATTCTGTGTCTTTTATTTTGGCTGAATTCATGTTATGTTCATTTTTGTTTAATTTAGTTGCAGCACTTTGGCTGATGCTTGTTGTCTTTATATATATATATATATATATATATATATATATATATATATATATATATATATATTGTCAGAGCAAAACCTCATTTCAGGATGAATGGACCAAAAGAAACAGCCCAAAATTATGAAAAAAATGTGGTTTCCTTTGATTTACATTAGAAGTAAAGTATGTTTTTTTCCTTCTCCTGTAAAGTTATCATTTTGGAGATAGGAGGTTTTGCTCCAACAGCAGTGATATTTTAAACACAGGCTGATTCAAAAAGATTGATCCAATTTCAAAATGATTTATTTCACTTGTAAATCTTTACAGGACAATGCAGTAAACTGTAAATGGTTTAATTGAGCATAAAGTCTATTATTGCAATTTTACAAGTGCTCAGTATGAACCTCCTCCAGCTGTACAGACATCAACGCCATAGTCAAACTCATCCCATACTGGATTGAGCATGTCAGGTGTCACTGCACTCACGGCTCTTTAAGTGTGATTTCGGAGATCATCCAGTGTTGTGGAACCAACGACAAACACTGTGAACTGTTGGAGGTTCACTGCCCACGAAAATCACATTGCAGTTATGACGGACTCACTCTTATTGAAGTGGAGAACAAAGAACGCTTACTGCTCAGGGGTCTAATCTCCTCTCAGACTGAAGGGAGCCATCTTCCACCGACAGTCAGAAACTCTATGACCCCCTTTTTCAATTGGTGTGTGATTGGTTCCTAGGAGCCTCATGGTTGTAAAAATATGGCGCTTTGAAATCGGATTAACCTTTTCGAATCACCCTGTATATATAAGATAACTTGACTTCCTTACAGGTTCTATAGTTTGCATGGACATGTTGGTTCTTCCTGAGTTTTCTCTTCTTACCAATAACATGTTATTCTGCAACATAGCAACTGCATGGCACTTTGAGTCATTTTGTGACTTTGTTGTTGGTCTGGGAAATATACGTTGCTTTGCTAGTGTAGCAGCTCTTCTGTTACCATTACTGATACTGTATAACTCATAGGCGACTGTGCTTCTCGAGCAAATCCCCTTGAAGGCCCACTGATCATCTATCCCAGAGCAGTCTTCACATCTTAGGTTCCCTTTTCCACTGAAAATGCAGCTTGTAAGAAAGCTTTGAGATGACAGTTCTCATGTTTGTATGGTTGTACATTTTGTCCAAAACGTCAAAACCTTATCCTTATTAATTCATTATTAATATATTAATAACCCTGTTACTTTAACCCAGCGAATTAACAAACCCACTAATTTAATACATTCACATAAACACTTGAGCTTGAAGAAACTTATAGTCAGTTTGTTGGCTAATCAGATGTGTCAACAGAATTCATTTAATTTTGATTCATTTCACCACATAAATACATTTTATGAATTTAAATTTTATTGACAATTGTAGTACATTTAATAAGAATGTCAAAAACAAAAAATACTCATTATTATTTATGCACAATGTAGCACATTTAAGAATTTCAGAGAGTCCAATGTTTATATTTATGAATACATACTTTTTGTTCTCATTTGTAAGTACAAAGTAAAAAGACGTATGTAAATTTAAAGTGGATATATGCAATGGAAGTATATTAAATAACAAAAACAAAAGTGCCTGACTACTTTTTTTACTGTTTTCCCTCATTCTGTATGCGCTGTCATCCATATATGGTTCATCACTTGATTTAATACAAATATATTGCACTTTATATTTTATTTATGTAGTCCATGGGGGTCCTGACCACTGAAGAACAGGGTAAAAGGGGGCTAACAAAGTATGCAGAGAAACAGACGGACTACAGTCTGTAACTGTAGAACTACAAAGTGCACCTATATAGTAAGTGGAGCTGATAAAATGG